ATACTCCTATACTGCCATAACTATAACAATAATATTGGTTGATTAAAGAAACCGCTAAAGTTTAATTATCTCACTTTTTCGTTAATACATAATTGACTTGACTGTAGTACCAATAACAAAACAACTTAATTTAAATAAGAAATATAATTTAGAAACTATTATATTTTTAATTGTAATACTTCAGAGATAGATGCGTAAGTGGAAATACTACCTGTTCATTTTAGATTCAGTGCAGAGCGATGAATGAATTGATTTTACCATGATGTGTTTTTATTTTTTTTTTTTGTGTCTGTCATCACGTTTTGGGGCAGTAAAAGTGCTTCAATTTTTGACTTCAGTACCTCATTCGATCAGAAAGTAAATCTAGTTGGTACTTTGAAGGGGGGGAAGGCAAAAGTAAAAAATTCTCAATATTTTTCTAAATAATAAGGGTAAACAAACTAAAAATTAAGGTGAAAACTGGAAATTTTACGCACAATCAGTTTTCGACAAAATTGATTTTAGATTTTGATGTAACTTTAAGACAAATGATCATAGATATATGCAATTTTTACCCACCCAATGTTAATATAAGTATATTCTATCCACCATACAATTTAAGAAAAATTTCGACTTAAGTTGAACTATTTATAGACATATACAATTTTCGAAGATAATTAGTTTATTTTAAATTAATATCGATAAAAATTTATTTGTTGTTTGTTGGGTAAAAAAGCTTGAAAATTTAATACAAGACTCCTAATATATTGTTACAATAGCAGTTGAAAAATAAAAAAACTCATAGTCACATTTTTTTACAAGCATTCAAAGTTTGAATTTTGACGACATACGTAAAAATCASGAAAATTCGCAAATTATTTTATGCTAGAAATKTATGAAAAWTTTTTTTTTCAAATCTAAGACTTGAAAATTTAATGCGAGATTTCTTGCAAGTTTTTAACTTTTATCATAAAAAAAGTATCCACCAGAAAGTCAAATTAAGTTTTTATGAGCGTTTGAAATTTAAATTTTTACAACATTGGATTTTGACTTGATTTCTCACATAGCGATTTTCTTATTTTGGTGTAATTCTAAAACAAATAGCCGCAGATACTTGAAATTTTCACTGAATGTTTATATACCTAGGCATTTTCTATATTTGATTAAATTTTCAAAATATTTTGATTAGTTTTGAGCTGTTGACTGACATTTTAATTTTTAAATTTTTTAGTTTTTTTTTCTATTAATGTCTATAAAATTGTATTGGTTGGGTCAAAAAACTTCAAAATTTAATATAAGGCTTCCAAAGTTCTAAC